TGATATAGACACCCCCCTACACACACACACACACACACACACACACACACACACCATAAAGGATACGTTTCAAGCTTTTAAATCCTTCCTTTTCACATTTAAATCATAAAGTGGAACTACGATGCTTTGGTCTGACTTCTTCCTTATTGTAACTCCACAAGCCCCCTTTTCATCCCTTTTCTGAGGTGTGTCTCAGATCAACTCGTTTCAAGGCTGTTTTCAAATCCAAATGAGGTGCTTTACACCCCCCAAATCTTCCAGACCAGCCCATTCCAGTTAGATGAGTTTACGATTAAATAGTGAAAACACTACAGTCACCCATTAAATATATTATTTTACCAGTTGAAATTCTTAAGTTCTATGAGTTGGTTGATTATAATATTTTACAGGTTATGTATAAGGCTCACAAATGTATGTTACCTTTAAACAATCAATTAAATTTTGTTAAGAGAGAAAGTTGTTATAATCTGAAAGGGGTAGAGATGTTTGTGAAACCTGGATTTGAAACTAGTTTGAGGGAGCGATGTACAAGGAAGAAGATTATAGAACAATCTGGAGAGTGATGTCAAAAATGCCAGTTCAATGTTTATGTTTAAGAGATAAAAGTCACTTTGTTAAAGAAATATGAAACAACAATGTGWACTCATATGAAACGTTGTTCGACAAGGATTTGAGGTTGTTTTCGTTTAGTTTTTCTTGTTGAAAATGTTGAAAGAAATGAATAAAGTMTGGAAAAAAAAGACACACTCACCATGGCCTGCTCAATTTTGTTGTCGATGGCGTAGCTGTTGCTGGAAGCACTGCAGAGACATGTGAGACACACATAGGTGAGAAATATTTCCACTGTGTGCAATGTGTCAACATCAGCAATTTAAAGACACAGATCCATTTGTTTCCACTTGTTCATTAAATAAAAGAATAAATGGTCACTGAAAAACTTAAAACCAACAGTAAAAAAAATCTGAAAATCAGTCATTGCTTATGAATTTATTAGTGATATGCAGCTCAATACTGAAATATCAATACCACCAATAACAGAACATTATACTCTAGGATTGATATTAAAATCAAAATATCATCAGTTTGATATTCAGTCAATTCAGGTTCATATCATTAACAGGAACACAGTGTAATGGAACTGAACGATTAACATTTACTCTAAATTATACGCGTTTGGAGGGAACAACTTCTAATTCCATCTGGGTAATTAATAAGCGCAGTCAGTCAATCAGTCTGTAGACTACACCTGTATGGCAGGCCATTTAAACATAAAATCCACTTTGTCTGAATATCTTTAAATACATTCTAGGTAGCTAAAAAGAGTTTTGACTAGAAACAACTAGATTTTGACTATCCTAAATGGTCATTTCAAGTATCCGTATTGGCATTCTGACAAGTCAGAAGAACAACTCAAGATACCTAAAAAGGAATTTAGTCAAAAATACAGTTCTGAATATCTTTAATGTACTTTAGCCTAGTTGTTAGTTGCATTCAAGATATCTGCAATTTAATTTGCAATAGGTAAATCTTTGTGATATCTAAAAATACACTTAAGATATCGAATAATGATGCAATTTAAGATTTCTTTTATTGGAATTGTGACTAGTCAGAACAAAAGCAAATTTTATTTTGAAATGGCCTGCCATACATGTTCAGTATTTGAATGTTAATATGTTCATGTAACATAAAATAAGATGCAAGTTTCATTTTTATAATAGTAATGTTTTTTTTAATTACATTTTTTATTGTTTCCAACACCATTTTCACATTTTGTATGACCATCTTCTAGTTTGTCTTTTGTATTAACTCAGTTATGTTGTAAATTAGGACACATTGGGCCTCATGC